AAAAAAGATACATTATAAGGTTGTTTGAATTTAACAAGTCACAAATCATTTCCTCTAAACAAGAAAGGCAAATAGCATCCTGCTCCCAAAATGGAGCTCTCTGGTCCCCCATTAGCCCATATGGGGCTTCAGCCAGAGCCCCAGTACACTCTTCTGAGGGTCATCCCGCCGTCAGGAAGCCATGCACTTTTAATCTGACGGTTTTGCATTCATTTCTTTCTGGTCTCAAACATACAGTTTAACAGGGCCAATGGGAAAGGGATTGGCCATGATTCACATAAGGGCTTCCTAGGTGGCTCAGTTAAAGAATCCACCTTCAAAGCAGGAGACACAGGAGACTTGTGTTTGATACCTGGGTGGGTAAGATCCCCTGGAGGAGGAAATGGTAACCCACTCCAGTGTTCTTGCCTGGAAACAGACTCACATGGCTGTGAACCTTGCAAAGTTTACCTCCTTTCACAGCAACAGGGCATTCTCTGGAATGCCATAGCTACACTCGTATTAGTTCTGTGATCATCATTATGGTGGAACAATATGTTGTAACTGAGATTTCCACAGAATCCATCACACTGACCATGGGGGGAGCTACTGTGATTGGACTTGCTCCAGTTCTTACTTCCCTTGCCTTATTCACAAAATAAATCTACTAATTTAAGTCATAGCTCATTGTACTGCTACCATCTTTCCGACTCTTGAGTTTAGTCAATTTTAACAGTCCCAGCTTGAGAATGCATATAAAAGATGCCTGCGTGTGTTCTTATAAGAGTAAATGATGAGGAAGAAAACAGAATTATCAAAGCAAAACATAATAGCTTACACAGAAAGCCAGTCAAGGTAAAAGCAAATGAGTCATAAACCAGACCCAAATTTACGGAGTCATCACCTCTCCATCCTGCACTTCATTTGCAACCGTTTAGCCGCTTACAGAGCTGTACTGAAACACTGAAATCACTAGCCCAACGGTTGTCTGAAAACAGCAGCTTTGCAAACTTTCAATTTTCCATTTTCAATGACAAGTCAACATTTCAAAGTGCAGAAGTTAAATGAGACAAGGAATGATAAATGATGCTCCACAATTGCTGAAATCTGATCACACTGAGATAAGAGCTGGCCAAATTCTACTCACATGAGTTTACACCTAACGAACAAGAAGAAAGAAAGGAAGGAAGGAAAGGAGTCTTTAGATAAATGATTGCTTTCATTTATTCCTCCTAAATATAATATAAACAAGGATATAAAGAAAATGCAAATGGATTCAGGATCCCATTTACACTTAGGGGGAGAGATTAATAAAACAGTCCCATCCTGAAAGAAAAACCGAAAATCGACCCTCATTTAAGAAGCTAATTTATGCACTCCTGAGTCCTCATACAAGTTAAGCAGCACAGAATATCACAGCAGGCATAGAACAACAGATCTCAAACCCTGCTGTGTTTGTTCAAGAAGGCAAGTTAAGCTATTCCTAACAGGAAACAAAACACATGGTCTGGCTATTAAACAGGGATCGTTTTGCCATACTGTATAGCTCTGACTCCATCAATTGCTGTTCCAAACAGGATTAGAGATGTGGTTTTCTTTAACTATGGTTTTGAGAAAAATGCTTATGCCTGCTCTGAATTTTCAAGCCTATATTAACTAATATGATGCCAGGCAAGACACAGAGTAACTTCAAGACCTTCAAGACAGTGTCTTTGAGAAACTCCAAATTTGTGTAAAGACAACACAAAATGAAGGGGAAAGGTGCACCTGAATTGAAAAGTTAATCACATAAACAGCCAAGTTTGAAATGCCCAAAAAGTATTTATTTTCTTTTAAGTATTCAAGGTTCCAAGTTATAGAGATTAAGTTAATCACACAGTGAACAATTGATGTCTAGTTCCTATAGATAGAACCTACTTAGATGAATATACAGTTTGAAAACTGGACTATTTTTGTGACCACCGAATATACATTTGCAAACAACTCTGGGCAATTCTGTTATTATTATAAAATGGAATCACCCAGACATTTTCGTAGACGTCAAGAATCATATAAGGGAAAAAATGCAAACTGTTGTACTGTTCTACAAAATATGGACCTTTCTTCATTGTTGAACTTAAGAACAATGAATCCAAAGGAGAAAGTGGTTCAATTTTCACTAAAAAGAACAGACTTGTATTGGCCTGAAGGCTTTAGGTCTGTATTGCTACATGTTTTTTAACCAAGACTTCAGGACACTGTCTATGTATTTGATGAAAATATTTATTGATCAAGTGTATAACCAGTTAGTATAATATTACTCCTACTTTGTATTAAGGGTTAAAATTTATAGAATCTAGAAATTATCTCAGAGGTGTTTAAGAATCACAGGAAAAATAAAACTTTTTTTTTCTTTTTTGCAAACCATTGTTCTAGAAAATAGCCAAAAGGGATAGAATATTTGGAAAACTCTCAAATTATTAGAGTCACAAATATGATAATTTATAGACAAAAATCATTAATTACTGCTACACATAAGAGGGATATCCAAATGGGACATTTTTAGTTGTAGATCAGCCAAGAGATTAAAATAAGCATGTTTACAGAGACATAACTATTTAAAATATTTATAGAGAAAACAGTTGCAGATGATTCAAAGAGAGATTCCAACAAAAACACAGTACAAATGTAGACACCATATGGTTCAACGTATGCACTCGTGACCTCATGTGAAAAGCTGGCCAAAGACACAGCAGCTGGAGATATCTCCCTTTTACCCCCAGAACAACAAACTCTTGGGTTTGGAAGGGACTAATTATAATCATGTACATGGATGAGTGAAATCTATGGGTAATGTCAAAGTCTTCGGGAAGAAATCTCTCAAAACAATTGTTTCTGAAAGCCTTTGCTTTGTTGGGGTTTCAAATTCAGTCTCCCTTTCTTTCTGACTTCATCTAGGCAGTTCAGGCAGGTGATACACAGTTTTAATGAAACAAGAGAAGCATCACATTCTTTCTGGGCTCTTTTGTCATATCTTGACAATTCATTAGCAAGACAATTACCTGAGGGGAACTGATGCTTCTAAGAACTTTCTACCAAAAGCCTTTGGTAACACTGGGGAGGGGAAGGGAAGGAACATGAGGGGCAGGGATGCTCATACATAATCTATTGAGACTAGTCCTGAAGGGGTCCCGGTCCTAAAGGGGAATGTTTTCAATCTGCAGTATGCCTCTCCTCAACCCACCTCATCTTCCAGCCTAGATCCCCAAGGATTATAGTCAAACTCCTCCAAAGAGCTGAACCACCCAGAAATTATCCAAAGAGTTCTGAAATCATTTCACATAAGACTCCTCTAATTTTTTGTTTAAAATAAATACCTTTCCTCTATATTAACCGAAAGAAGACAGTTTGTAGCCACAGTGAGGAAGGGAAGGCAGGGTTATTCTTTGTCATCCAGGGCTGCAGAACAAGTCTGTTGGGCAGTATAACATCTTTGGAACAGAGTCACTGGAGCATCTTCCTCACTTTTGAACTTTCTATGACCGTAAATAATAATGTGCTTCACTTTGCAGGGCATGTGATGTGAGTCAAGATATGATGATAGAAGAAGACAGTGATGAGCTAAGTGCTATTGAGAACTCATATGGCCCAGCAACATTTGTTATTACCACATTCTATGCTGGTTTGTTTTGAACTTGGTTTTAAAATTCCATGGCTGATGGCACTTCAAATTCATGAGGAATCTTTTACAACAGAATGCCTTTGTCTATGGATCAGTGGAAATTTGATGAATAAATACCAGTAAGTTGAGGCCAGTCCATTTTTAGATACTGAGTTTAAGTCTCTTTGCAAAGAAATTTCTAATGTGGGCAATTAAGCAAGCATAACCTATCAAAGATGCCAAGCCTTCCAGATACTGTGGAATTCTGACCATATATTTACCCTGGAAGCTCTTGCTCCACACAAATACTTTAACTTTTAATGAAGTGTTCAGTCCTTCTGTGATGGCACTGAAGTGTAATCAAACATCACCACAAGCCAAGTCACACACTAGCATGTCTTGCCTTGTTTAAATATCTCAAATGTATTTGAGTAACTGTGTAATGATTTCTAGGCCTCTGGTTGTCCATATGGTCTGAACAGACTGTCTTTTGTAGAGCAGTTGTGCTATCTTAGTAAGACAAAAACCAAATCATCTCTGCTCCAAACTGGAGAGCTTAGGAGGATCAGATTAAGTTTCACGGTGGTGCCCTACCTCAACTCTTGAAACCAACTCACATCAGAGCCCCAGAAATTGCTCTGTTGTCTGGAAATCTTGCTTGCATTTGTGAAATACACCGGAACAGCACACCAAGCATCATGTGACATGTCCTCTGCCACAACTGTCCTTAGGATGCAGTGACAAGCCATGGAAGATACAACAAAGCCAGCACTACAACCACATGGAATCTTTCTGGATAGCAAACATTCTACATGGTGGCAACACATCATCTCAGACAGATAACGAGGACCAGTGAAAGGGTCTGACTGTTGGCAAGAACTCTGCTCTAATGCTCTCTGGGTGGTATGGGTATTGAGACAAGCAAGGTAGCTATTGATTTTTCAATTAATGAAACTTAAGGGGAGTTTTAGGGATTTGGCTTAAGAGCTCAGAAACTAAAATGATTACTGGGCTGTACTAATTATTTACATTATATCCCTAGGAAAGTATCCCAGGGACGATCTGGAATGTTATGTTGGAAGGAATGTGACAAACTTACTCTCCACCTATTATTTGAGAATTCTTGGCAAAATGGTTGAGCATAGATTCAACCCCAAACCACTGGCCACCAAAGGGCTCTCTGGTGGGATTCAGTTGGCAAAGGGCTAGTGGACAGTCAAGTCTGTGGGTCTTTCTGCTCCTGTCCAACTTCAGGCTCCTGAAGTCCTAAGAGGAAAACCATTTCACTGGTCATGAACAATGCTGAATGCACAAGACCATGGAGGCATGCATGATTCATGAGTTCTGGGGATGACTGGAATGTGATAGAAAAGAGTTTTACCTTTTGTGCCTGAGGGAGCTGAAAAATAAGGAGAAAAGAGGAAAAAAAATCATTATATAAGAAGTAAAGATTAACTGTAAAACTTCATGTGGCTGTCATTGGCTAACAGAAAGACCAAAATGGGGAGAAAAACAGGAAAATAACAACCAAAGCCAAGTCATTTCCCCATATAAAGTTATGGTGCTGTTTATTTCACCTGCTACCTTAATTCATAGTGTCAACAGATGATCTGTGACTTTGATAGTGAGTGTATTGAGGAGTTTTTGGTGGCCTTCTGCACAGCTGGACCTGAGGTTCTTCCGTCCGGTGATCGAAAGCACTATGAAAGTGTTTCCACAGGAACAGAAAGCAGCTCCTTCTTCCTGTATGCCAACAGTTCCCCACTGCTGAGGACTGTCCGGAGACATGTGGGGCTGTCAAAACTTGGGGCGGGGGAGGGAGTAAGAGCTACTGGCCTCTGGTGGGTAGAGACCAGGGATTCTGCACACTCCTAGAATGCACGGAACAGCCCCCACTACCGTATGTCGTGGTAGAATTACACTGCCCATACGTCCACTGTGCCAAAGTTGAGAAGTTCTGCTGGACGCAGAGGCACGCCCATTTGAAGAACGTCATTTAATTTGAAGTCAGTGTTTCTTGCTTTGTAGCACAGTAACTGTTCCCTTTATTGCTGGTTAAGGAAGCATGTGCAAGGATTCATGCATATGAAGTAAGGCTGATACTCTAAGAACAACGAAAAGGCAGTCAGTCAGTAAGTAAAATAAGACATAATAGCTAAGCCAATGGCACAGGGGAGGGGCTGAGATTATAGGTATGTGGGAAAAGATTGAATATTTATGAGACATATTTATCTATTTTTCTACAGTGAGACTATTAAGCTGTGGTTTAGTGTCATGGTGTTTGTAATTGCCATTACACACAGCGTGCAGTGTTTCGAAAAGCAATTTTCTAACCTGGAATGGAATTAACATTATCCATATATTAAATACCAAAGGTAAGAATTACATCATTTTCAAGTCTTTTCATAGAGACTAACATTTATCAAGTGTGAACTTGTCAGCCAGCACAGTGTTAAGGCCTTTATTTGTATCACCCCCCTAAATCACAATAACCCAATACCAGGTTCTCTTTAGTATCCTCATTTTACAGATGAGAAATACAATGACCATTTAGACATTATGTAATTATATGATGTTCCATAGAAAATAAATTTGAGGGCAGGGTCATCTGACTTTCAGTCAGTTCGGTTGCTCAGTAGTGTCTGACTCTTTGCAACCCCAAGTACTGCAGCACGCCAGGCTTCCCTGTCCATTTGACTTTAGAATGTACAAATTCAATTCAACTCACAAGTTAAAAACGGCCACAAACACTTGGGAATTATGACAACAAACTCTCAGTGTCTCTAGGGCTTGTGACACTGGAACTGCCAGAATATGAAAGATAACTAAACCAGGCATCCTATGGTCTGAACCTCCTGCCTTCCCCATTCTTCTCTCCCCGTGAAGAATATGCTCTCCTCATAGACACTAAGACTGGGGCTTTCTGAACCCATCATAAGGCCCTGCCCTGTGGATGGAGCCCAATAAAAGATCGAAGGGATAAACTCAAACCAACAAGGTGTCTTGTATCTCAGAGACTGCTCCAGAATGGTTCAGAGAATGTCCACAAAAGGCAGACCTCCAACCTGCCAGTAATCAATTTCCAAGCACTTTTATGCTGCAAGGTCTCTCAATTTAAGAAGATAGAAATACAAGCCATGATTTCTTTATTCCTTCCTCCTACTTGTAGCTGCCACTATTAAAAAGGAAGCTCACATGTTTCTCCAGCACTTCTCAAGAGTGCAGAAATGTATCAAGAGGTGAGAAATTGAGCCTAAAATGAGGAGTCACTTAAATAAGAGTCTTAAATATTAAATATCTTTTCACAACATAAAAGAAACTTTGGAAATGCAAACATTAATAGAATGACAGATGTATGCTTCCTTAGGAAAGAATCTGTGTTGAATCACAGATGATATGAAATGCATTGGGCAGTGATGAGAATTATAACTGCTTGATGAATTAAATCCCAAAGTCAAGGCCTGCACAAACCGTGGGACTTGACAGGTCTCTTAAAAATGAGAGCTGCCCTTTTTCTCTCTCTCAGGTTTATCTTGGTGGAGCAGGAAACGCTTCATTTTGAGTCACCCATTTAAAGCACAAGAGAAGAAATCCTAGGCAGGAAAATGAGAGACCAAGTTTTTGTGGTGATGTCCTCAGTTTAAGGCTGCCCTCAAGTTCTCCGCAAAACATATATTTTCCTGAAGAAATAATTCATGAGAACAAAGAGCAACTTTCCTACCAGAGCTTTTAAATAACATAAATTATAGTCTGCAATGCCACACACAGGTTGGACCTTGGAAAAGAAGCCTCAGAATAGAACACAGCAAATTGAGATGGGCTTACTGGCAGCTGCAGATGCTAGTGATTGGGAGTACATGCTCTTGATGACACATGGTTCACGCAACATTCACAGTGTGCAGTGCTCTGACCTGGGAGCCAGACCAGTGGGACACTAGACTCAGCCTGGCCTCTAGCTGGAGTCTTGAGGCACGTGCATTTTAGCCTTTGGTCAGAGCGCTTAACTGTATAAAAGGATGATCCAGGGAGGGCTGGGGAATGGGCCACTTCTTAGATGGCAAAAAAGATTAGCTTCAAGAGTCAAGTCTGACAGATTGGTAATGTATTTCCATAGGGCCATGTTGAGAAAGATTTTGAAGTTATATTTTTTGGGAAGAATCTTATAACCAATTAGCAATGTCTGTAGTGGGCTCAGAAAATAAGGAACAGCAAAGGATACTCCTGGACACAATGGTCTCTGAAGGTCTCATTGTATTTTTCCTTTGTAGTTCAGAGAATATCTGTACTATCTATGTAAGTTAGTTTAATGTCTCTCCTCTGCCAGTTCACAAGTTCATAAGGACAAGAGGGGACCTGCTCTGTGTGGTAGTCTCTATGCATTTCTCTATCTGTGACTGTGACTGGTGCCCACCTGGTTAAAGAAAGTACCTTATTACTAGGGCATGCCCAGGGTGAATGCCAAGGAATGACAACTGGGTTAACTGACTGCAGTCTACACCTTCACAAACACATACACCATGTTGATAATCCAAGATAATGGCTAACAAGAGAAAAAGGAATATTTCTGCCAAAGGATAATCCCCGTACCCTTGGTACAGATGTCTGCAGACGTGCGCATTGTCTCACTGACCCATGGATGTGCAAAAAACTAGCCTGGGAATTTCCCATCGTCACTCAGCCTGATGCAAGGCAACTTCTCTTTCTCAAGACCTCGTCTTCTCCAAAGTCACTTTGTCAGGCATTGTCAACCAGGCCCCACCTCCCTATGTCTGTTTCTTCACTTACTATTAATACATCAGGATCTGCACAAGCAGCTTCAGATTCCTTCAGACCAAATGCCCCCTAACTGTATGACTTTATAACCAACTATTCACATCCTCTAGTCATTTTTTTAAAGGAAGCATAAAGAAAGAAAGAAGTTGTAGTATATGGTAGGCTTGCACATTCCCAGGGAAAATTCTTGGGATATAGAATGCATTCGTGGGACACTTCACATTCAAACCTGGAAAGACTGAGAATGTGTCATTCAAGAGAGTGACAGAGATGAAGGGAAAGTAAGAGAAGCAGCCTCTCTTGAGTGACCACTCTCGACGCAGCAGTACTTGACTAAGCACTTTACCATCTTGAGCAGCTCTGGTCCCCACAGCGGACCTCTGGGTTATATATTAGCATCAGTCTCATAGATGAGGAAATAGAGAATGCTTAGTATGGCTAAGAACTTTGCCCATGTCACCCAGTCAGGAAATGCTGGAGCTGAAAGTCAGCTCAGAATCATATCTCTCTGCAGCCCTCACTTCTGCTCAGTCAGGCTCAAAGTTTTGCTTCTCATGCAGACCAAAGGTGTTAGCACCAACCCAAGATTTGGGGGAACTCTCAGGCCATTCCACCTGGGAGTCCCCATATGAGGAAGTGGGAATGAGAAATTATGGCACCACTCCTTACAGAAGAGTCTGGATGGAGAATCTAGCCTACCATGCTTCGCAGCACGTGGTGTATGATCATATGTGTGCTGGCTAAGTCACTTCAGTCATATCCAACTCTTTGCAACACTATGGACTGTAGCCTGCCAGGATCCTTTGTCCATGGGACTCTCCAGGCAGGAATACTGGCATGGGTTGCCATGCCCTCCTCCAGGGGATCTTCCCGACCCAAGGATCGAACCTACATCTCATGCCTCCTGCCTTGGCAGGCAGGTTCTTTACCACTAAGGCCACCTCAGAAGCCCATGATGTATGGTGCAGCACAGATATTTCCGTGCCTTCTCCTATCACAGACATACTTGTCCTTCCCCTATTTCAGAATGCTCCCTCCTACCTTCCCTCCTTGTCCAGCAAACACCTGGTTGTCACTGTCTCAAAGAAGACCCCGTCTGACTTCTCACAGCAAATGTCATCAGCATACCACACACTGCCTATTCACAGCACAGTTACTGCTAGTTGCAGTAACTGCCACACTGCCCTTTTCTGGAAATGGCAACCCAACTGTTAGCCAGGCTCAACTAAATGGCTCTATTAGAACTTGGTGGGATTCAGCTGTGGTCAGTGAGATATCCATGGATGTGGCTTTTTCAGACAGTACCCTTAAAAGGACTCCTTCCATCCTGCTGCAAGGAAGGCAGATGTTACTGCTGGTGCTTTACCAGTCATTCTGGGCCATCAGGTTTTCTTGGATGGAAACCACATGCTGCAATGTTGACAACAGCAATAATGGCAGTTATAATAGCTATGACATACTATCCATCATTCTAAGTGCTTTGTGTTTGCTTGTGTGCATGCTCAGGTGTGTCTGACTCTTTACTGAAAACTCATGGAAACTTTATTAGGTAAGTTCTATTATCACCCCAATTTTCCATGAAACTACAAGGTCACATAGCTAGAGAGCAGCAAAGATAGTGTTTGA